TAGGGAAATGTTGCTATTGCTCTTTGCTTGCCCAAAAGACCTGTTTGTATGCACCAAAGATGGGAGCTTCAGGATATTCTGACAGGCCTGTTTCTTTCCGGCTGTGCACTCAGGCACCCGTCACTCTGCACTCAAGCGGCGCCTCATCCGTTTTTATTTAGCATTCCCATCGCCAAGCAAATGAGTTTGTTTACCCAGAGCAAGGGTCCAACGTAGCAATTTTCTCCCATTTTCTGGGCTGTTAAAGCTGATGGTGTAACCCAGTTCTTAATGCGTTTCCCCACTCACTGATCCCAGAGCTGGCGCCCTGGAGACTTGTTTTCCTGATGGCTTTTGTTTTGTGCGTCTGTCTCTCTTCCAGCTGACCCATTGGATCCAGACAAGCTGGTCCAGTGCCCATACGATGCCCATCACCAGATCCGAGCCTGTCGCTTCCCCTACCACCTCATAAAATGCAGGAAGGTAGGAGTGCCCTGAACACCTGAAAAGCCAAGGCCTTGTAAATGCATCGGTCAAAACAGCCTTTCTACAAAGGAAGCAGCTTTCCTCCCCCCAGTCCCCTCTGCTTTGGGCTCAGAGGACAGTTTTCATTGCCAAAGTCTCTGGCACCTCCCTGAGGGAGACATTTCAAGTTCCACTCGAGTTTTGGACCAGTGTACTTGCCCTGAAGGAAAGGGCAAGGGTTCTTTGGGGTCCTCTGATCACAGGGGGTAGGGGGTGGTTGTGGAGGGCAAAGGCAGCTGGAAGCCTATGGGTGTTTTTCCAGGCTGGGCAAAGCAGCAGCAATCAGGTGGCACGGCAAATTCCTGCCTTTGCCATGCCAGCCACGCAGCTGCCAGCAGCCTGTCGCCCTCTTGCTAATAGCTCTATTGAACGTGCATCTGGTGCCCTTCCCTAGGCCCAGATGGGCCCTTTCTTCCCCTCTCAATCTTGTCTCCGGGGTTTGAATGCAAACTGTCTCCCCCTCCCTCCGCTTCCCCTCCGGCCCTCTTCAGCGTAAGTGACTGCGCAGAGCTGAGCCCCAGCTAATCGTGGCTCAGAGCTTGCTTGTGAAGCTGTGTCCTGAAAGCGGTACAACACTGCCACCCCTCTGCCTGCATGCAGTCATGCAGGCGCCTCTGCAGAGCAGCCACTGGGCTCTTGTCACTGTGCCTGTCAGACCAGGTATGCTCACCCCTGGCCCGCCAGGTTCTCCGCAGCCCAGAAGTTTGCTTGTGGCGGGGCAGTGGCAGCATTAATTGCTGGTCCGCTACTGCCAGGTTTCCGGGCCTGCGAGGTGCCTGGCAGGTTGGGTAACGTGGTCCTGTGTGGTGTGCTAGATTGGGTTTGATCCAGCAGGGATAGGACTGGAAGGTTGAGCACTGCTGGGTTAGCCGGTACCTGGGCACAGAGACTGAGCAGGGGGCAAGGCTGGCGCCCTTCCTGGAACAGAGGACTCGACCCATTCCTGCCTGCCCCTGCCCCCTAGTATCTGCTGCCCAGCCCTAAGGGCCCCAGAGTGAACTGTCTGCACTGCATCTGGATGCTGCCTCAGCTGGCTTTGAGCAAGGCCTCTGCGTATAACAGCTGCAATGAAGCTGCAGTAGCACAGGCCCTATGAGCTGCCAGGGACCCTGGCTTCATGCTTAAGGTCTGCTTCCCCGCTAGCCAGAGCCCTGCTGGCTCCCTGAGTGTGCTTAATGCCTGGCCTCGGTCATGGCTTTGCTGGGTATGTTGCCCACACAGCTGCGCCAGGCAATCCCAGCCCACGTCCTTGGCCCTGCTGCTGGTGCCTTTATGCCAGCACGACTGGTCTGTGCCGATGCAGATAGTTTCACTTGAGGGAACTGGAACCATCTCTGCCTGAGGGAACCTGACACTGCTGGGTGGGAGTGCATCCATGCTCAAGTGCTCGTGACATGGGCAGCCATAACAATAAGGCGCTCCTGTCCTGTCCTGTCCTGTCCTGTCCAGCTGCCTCTGAAGGGTGAAGGTACCCACAGGGATGCCAGGTGCACATGGGCAGCATGTCTTTTTCCACCAGCCCCTCACTTGAAAAGGAAAGTAACTGAATTATTCAGGGCTACAAAGCCTTATTCTCTCCCTAGCTCCCAGTGGTTGTGGCCATGCCACAGTGATGTTGCTCCCTGCCTGGGCTGTGCATTTCAATCTGGGATTTTTTTAGGCTGTGCCCAGCATGGTCATAGTGGGAATCTCCCTGCCCTGCCACAGTTTCTGTGCCGGTGACCCCAGCATGTACCTGTCTGTGTCCCTAGAATCACCCTGACATCGCCAAGCAGCTGGTCACCTGCCCCTTCAATGCCCGCCACCGGGTTCCTCGAGCTGAGATCGGCCAGCACCTCTCGAGTTGTGAGGACAAGAGCTGCATCGAGCAGGACATTGGTGAGGATGTCCCTTCTTCCCCTGATCTGTCCCTTGGCCCCCACAGCGGTCGGTCTGCCAGCTGGGGTCTGCATGGGAGCCCTTGCCGTGGCAGCATAATGTCCTTCCCACTTCCCTTCAGAGTTGGGTGATGCGGAGGCAGCCACCTTTGGTTGGAACTTGGTGCTTGTGGGCCAGGTTCATTTTTGTGAGCCCTTGAGATGCTCCTGGCTGACACAGTCCCCAGGACTAGCCAGGGATCTCGGTGCTGGTGGTACCCTCAGCTCCTGTGTGTTCGGATGCTGAGGGGCTGGGATGGGGAGCCCCAGGCCTTTCCTCTCCAGTGCTGCTGTGAACATGTAGGCACTGAGATGATGGTGGCTGGCTCGGGGCCGTGTGCCAGATGTGCATCTCAGCCCGCTTCTCGATGACCAGGGAGCTTGGTGGTTTAGTCACCTGCCTGCTACCCCTGCAGCCGAGTGCCCAAGGGTTGGCTGGGCTGTGGGGCTGAAGAGCCCTCTCCAGCAGAGCCACAGGGCCTCATGCTCATACCCTTGTATGCATGAGCCTGCCCAGGGTTTAGGGCTTCTCAGGCCCACTGCCCCAGTCCCAAGACCCTTGCCGGAAGGTGTCCTGTGCTGTGGCTGCTGTCACATTGGAGAATGGGCCAGATCTTTGGGCTGGACCCCCTGCAGGGGCTGTGCCAGTGCTGACATGGCTCCCTGGCAGCTTTGGGGTTGAGACAGCAGCTCCCCACCCCTGAGGCCTCTCCCAGTTGTAGCTGTGCTGTGGGTGAGTGCAGAGTTGCCTGGTCCTGTGCTAGGGAGTGGGGCACTAGGAGTTGCCTGTACACGGGGTTTGGCACAGCCAGGAGCTGTCACAGACAGTCACAGACCCCAAGCAGCTGCTCTCGTTTCCAGCGAGTCAGTCAGGTTCCTCTTGGCGAGTGGAGACCGACGTGGGCAACACATGGCAGCCGCCCCCCTGCAATGAGGACTGGGATGCTGGTGAGGACCTTCAACACCGGCTGCTGCCTGTCCCTGTCCCCACCCTATCCCCCTCAGTCCTTGTGCCCAGGAGGGAGGGACCTGGGAACCAGCTTGTGAGATCAGGTTCTGTGACGCCCTGTTCCTCTGTCACAGAGCAAAACCCCCTCTCCTTGGGCTGTGCTCCCCATGCTGACGTGCTTCTGGAGACTTTCATGTCCCCTCGGCCATGGCCACCTGGGACACCTGCAGACCCAGGAGTACCCATGGCCAAGGGACTTTAGACACAGATCCACCCTCTCCCATGAGCATCCCACAAAGGTGTGTGGCCCTGAGCTCTGCTGTCTTCTGTTCTCTTGGGCAGAGCTGCAGGAATCCTCAAGTTCTGGCTTCACTTGGGGCATAGTCCACAGCAGCGAGACCAGGTAGGAAGAGCACAAGCTGCTCCAGTCCCATGTGCAACCCACCCCCACCTTCTGGCAGCTTGTCCCAGGCCAGCCAGAGCCCTCCTCTTGCTGCCGCCTCTGCTTAACTCTGGGCCAGGAGGTGTAGGGGTCTGGCTGGTTATCCGTGAGTGGGACAGCTCTTCCCTTCCCAACCTGCCTTATCTAATCTGCTAGCAAGTCCTCACCATGGCTGTTATGTAGTCCCCTTCTATGTCGTGGCTGAGCTGTAGAGATCCCCCAGCCAACCCTTCTTTGCCTCTTTCAACCCCAGGCCCAGTGTTCTGATGGAGCCTAAGAGCAACCTTGCCTTGGGCATGCGGGCTCCCAGGTCCTTGCCCTATGCCCTGCCCTGGAAAAGGGGTAAGTACGTGAGGCTCCTGGTGTCTGCCCTGCCTGGCACTAACTCCTGGGTGGGGAGGGGGAGAAGGGGGGCTTCAGTGTTGTCTTGCATGTGCTTTCTCCCCCTATCAGCAGGGAGAGAGGAGGACAGGCCCACCCAGCTCCTGCTGCTTTCTGCACTGGAGGCGTGATCTGGGGAGGAGCTGGCCCAGGCTCCCTTTGGCGCCAGGCTGTCGGAGCAGCAGGCTGGCTGGCCTGTCCGAGCCCTGTTCTGCAGATGGCAGGAGCCAGACCTGCTCGGGAGTGTCAGGCTTGGCTGGGCTTGGCTGTGCCTGGATTTGGGACCTGTCCTGCTCTTCCCCATGCTGACCTGGCTGCTCTCCCTACCCAGGGCTGGGGGCTGTGTTGCAGACCCTGGCTGCTGCTCCTGGGCCTTTCTCTCTGCAGCCGCCCCTGCTTTCTGGGGGCCCAGCAGATCCTGCTGATTGCACAGGATGGGGGAGGGAGCGGGGTTCTGCACCCTTTGTGTGCTGCTCACACTGATCACATCAACCTCTTGCTCCTTAGGCAGCAACCAGCAATGAGTGGAAGGGCCCCGGGCTTCCAAGTAAGTGCTCCTTTGTCCCCTCCTCATCCTGCACTCCCTTTCACATCCCAACTGCAGGGCTGAAGCGGCGATTTCCTTTAATGTTAGCCCTGACTTGAACTCCTGGCGAAGATCGAGCGCTTGCTGTTAGGTCTAGGACAGAGCTCTGAGCTGCTGTCTATGGCACGGAGCCCGTGTGCCAGCCTCTGAGATTCTTCTAATGAAACCCCGTCCCTGCTTGAGCAAGGGGCAGCAGACCAGATAAGCCCGGAACAGGACCTGAAATCCCATGCCAGCCTCCCTGCTCCCCCAGCCCCCTCCCCTGTGCACTCAATGCCATCCCTTTGCTTGGGCTTCATTAGCAAGTCCCCACCTCTCTGCAGTGAGGGGAGGGAGACTCAGGGTGAAGGTTGCTTCTATAGGCTTCATGCCCCCTTTCTGCTGCTTAGATGTGCCAGGTCCCTGAGCTGCTGCTGTGAAGAGCCAGCCAGTTTCCCACAGGGAGCTTGTACTAGGTTTTGTGAGGGGACACGGACACATGCTCTGAGTTCCCACGTGCTTTCCCCCTGCCCGCCCCCAGGTGGTGCTCCTGCCCTGCCATTTCTGCATGGGGCAAGACCCTCCCCTTATCCAGAGCCCAGGGATGCTCATGGGGGGGTGGAGCCCCCTTCCCAAGTACCAGGCCAGTGAACCCCCAAGGCCAGTGTTGGTTCTGGGGACCCCCCCCAGTAGGCTGTACCAGCTCTGAGCTGGGACATGGTCCCTGCCTTGAAGGCCCTGTTAGTTCCAATGTGCAACTCCTCAGCTGGCCTGCACCTGAAACTGAGTATGCCCGAGCAAGGCGGGAGCCCGCACCGCGCAGCCGGGATTAGGGAGGCATTGAGCACAGGGAGCGGAGCTGGGCTCTGAAAGCCTCTTTGGGACTGTCCTTCTAGGCCTGTAGGGCCCCTTCCAGCCTGCCAAGCCTCTAGCTAGGTACAGTTTAAGTGCTGCTGGGCTGGACAGAGTGAACCAGCCCCAGACAGCAGGACCAGGAGCTTGCAGCATGGAGGTGTATTCCTAGGGCACAGTGGTGCGGAGCACGATTTCCAGGTGCTGGAGCCACGAGGCTGGTGCCAGCTGGAGACTCTGTTGTCAGAGCTGCCATCCCATCTTGTGGCACCTGCAGCCACCTGGATCGGGGCATGGATCATGCATGAGGAGAGAGCCTGGGGTGGGGGGCAGATCTTTGCAGTACGTGGCCAGCCTGGGTCTGTGCTTGGGGTGGGGGCTTGGCTCTGGCTGTTAAGCAAGTGTCCTGCCCTAGCTGGTAAGCACTGGGAGAGGGGCCAGTCCCAGGAGCCTTTATTGAGGGAGCTATGGGGTATTTGGAGACATCAGCTCCCTGCCCTGCCTAAGGGGGCTACTTAGGTTGGCAACTCCTGAAGTTAGCAGAGCAACATCCACATCCCTGCTTGGACCCAACACGGTTAAATTGGTCTGAAGAAAGAGCAGCCCCTGATCCCCCAACCCTGGGGCCTGTTGCACCGCACCTGCTCACTCCACTGCATCATGGCATGCTTGCCCTGCCTGTGATTCCCCTGGGCTCACTACTACGGTATCCTCATGGGGCATTTGCAGCCATGTCTGTACATGGGGAGCAGTGGGAGCAGGTCTTCCAGCTCAGAGACGGCCTCTTGTGCACAGGGGCCCATGAGTGCAACGAGTTTCTCACGCCCGGTGGCAGTACTGTGGGCTCTGAAATCTTGGCTTCTCATCTAATCGCAGGCAGAGGCAACTAATGTGGATGGAGAAGAAGTCATGACGTAGCTCCTGTTGCCTTCCTGTGGCCAGCCCAGGCACCCACAGAAATGGGCCCCTCCTGTACTGTGGTATTTGCCTCCAGCCTAGCCTCCCCGACCAGCCCACTGAGCCAACCACTGTTACCCCCCAGCGGGACCCTGCACCTAGACATGGGTCGTGAGGAACCCCTGGCCGGGGATCAGCACATACCAGGGCCGGGCTCCTCCATCTCTGTGTCCAGCTGTCAGTCGGACGTGCCAGCTGCACCGGCCAGGCGCCCCACACCACATGGGGGTGGCTCCTAGTGTTACCATCTCACTCCTTTAAACTCTCGGCCTTGGGCTGGGGCTTGTGTTACCCTACGTCAGCCCTGCCTGTCTCTCCGTGCGCGGGGTTGGGCTGGCTGAGGAAGGTGGGGGGCATTGAGGGGAAATACTGTGTTAAATACCATTAAGTGTTGATGTGGCTGTTTTGAGTTGAGGGGGACGGGGGGCATGGGGCTGTCGCACGTAGGCCAGGCCCAGGGCATCTGCTTAGGGGGCTGACCCAGCTCCCGCCAGCAGGTTTGCAGACAGTCTTGTTCCCCCACTGAGTTGCCTGGTACACGTGGAGCCCTGCTGGGGCCAGGAGGCTACAAACAGTCTGGCAGGAGCCCTGGCTGGGGCACCATGGAGCCAGGGTTTGGTGTGAGCCGTCTTGGGGACAGGGTGCAATGGTGCTCATCCGTGTCCTGGGCCCCATTTGCTGCCCCTTGTCTCCCTGTGGTCAGCCTACCTGGCCAGCTGTACATGCATGTGCACGCACCCCAGGGGCAGGGAGGGGTTGGTGTGGGCTTTCCACCCCCTTCCCCTGAGGGTCCAAAGGAAGGGAACTGCTCAAGGCAGCCACCAGCCTGTCTCAGCTCTCCTGAGCCATGCCACCCCCCTGCTGCTGCCCATGTCTGCCTTGTCCTGTGCCCTTCCCTGGGCAAGGGGAGCCAGCCAGCCCCCCCCCCAATCCTTGCCTGGTGCAGTCTGAGCAGCCTTGGACTTTGGGCTGTTGCCGTGGAAACAGCACTGGCATTGGCTACCAGGGGACAGCGACAGGGAGGTGACTCCTTGCAAAGGCAAATGCAGCCTGGCCCCTCTGGGTTGGGGGGCATGGGTTTGAATTCCCCCATATGCCTGTCCCTGCTGCTGTGCCTGTGCCACTCCTGATGTCATCAGAGGGGCTGCGAGGGGGTCCAGAGTGGGAGTGGGGGGGGGTCACTGGCTGAGGCCAGGTAGGGTCTTGCTCCCAGACTGGGCCTGGGCCCAGGGGTCTAGGACAGGCTGAGCCATTAACACGCTTTGACTAGAAAGAGCAGCGTACTTGGCACCTGGTAGCACAGCCTCCGGCCCCCGGGACACGCCCTCATCCTGCTTCCGTGTGACGGCCAAAGCAAGGGCTCCGTGCACCCTGCAAGGTACCAGCTGGGCACGTGTCTCTAGCCTGTGCCTGCTGCCCATGGGGTGGGGGCAGACAGGGCAGGTACAGAAGCAGGGATGGGGGCCTGCAGCCCACTATGACCCATGGGGAGCCCTGAGGCTGCCTCTTGGGACCAGCTGTGGCCAGAGGTTGCTTTTGTGGCTTAGGATGTTATGAGGGAGGTGGGTGACACTGGGGGGCTCCTGGCAGCTTCCTTCCTGGCGTGGGCGCAAGGCATGGGAGCCATGGAGTGGCTGAAGCCACCCCCTGCCTCACCTGCCTGTGACTATGCCCACCCAGCTGTTCAGTCTCTGATCTCCAGCCCAGGCCTGACCCCTGCCCTTCCTGGCCCGCCCCTGCCCTTTCATCTCCCCGCGGCATTTGCTGGGCCCCTGGCCAGCCGGCTCTGGGTTTGATGTGAGGGTGGAGGTAATAAACCCCCCCCTGCTGATGCCCATCCCTGCCTGTGCTGCCTCTTATCTGCAGCAGGGTTAGCGGTACTGGTCTAAGACAGGCAGACAAGGTTCCTTAGGGCAATGTGATATCTTTTATTAGACCAAATGAACAGTTGGAAAGATAATGGTTGCCAGCTTTTGGGCACGAGCCCCCTTCTTCAGGCATAAAGAGAGTCTGCCGGCGACAGGCTCCTCACTGCCACGCATTTGCATTTGCGTTTTCACAGACCTGCGTTTTGCGTTCTGGCTTCTGTTCTACCCAGAAGACGGCACAATTCACCGGCAGACTCTCCCTGTGCCTGAAGACGGGCATTTGTGCCTGCAAGCTGGCAAAGAACATTTTTTTTAACTTTTCTAGTTTGTCAGATAAGAGATTGCATCTACCCAAAGACCCTGATCTGCAGTAGAAGCATTTGTTACCTGTCTTGGGGATGGGGAGTGGCGAAGAGGGGGCTTTGCCAACCTGGCATCGCAGGGAGGAAGGAAAGGGTGGCGCTGTCAACCTAGCAGAGCACGCCTGGCTCCTTCCTGGCACCGGTGCATGGTTCCAGCCTCAGCACCCTCCTCCCCACCCCTGGCCTGAGTGACTTACCTTGGGGTAGGGAGTCCCAGGCTAGACCCCAGGCATCCCGGCTCCCTGCCCCGCCAGGGAGAGCTGAGGCTGGAAGTGGTGCCCAGGCCTGGCCCAGCTGGCAGTGCAGTCTGGTGGTTAGGGCCTCCTAGGGGTCTTCCCCTCCGAGCCTTGGTTTCCCCACAGGATGCCCAGCTGCTGGAGCTGGATGCCCACAGGGAGGGTGCTGGGGGAGCTGCTGGGGGCAGTGCTGCTCTGGGACAGGGTGGAGGTGAGTGGCCCTGTCCCGACCCAAGCCCGAGTGCCCTGGTCTGACCTGGGTCCCTCCTCCACCCACCCAGTCTCTTCCCTCATCCTGTGGGGCCAACTCAGCACCCCGTGGGCCTGACTCACCCGCCCATGGTTCCCACCAGGAAGCAGCTGACCCCGGTCATGGCCACGCCGACTTCCGTCTTTCCCCAGACAGCCACACACCCCTAATGAGGGCCGCCCATGCCTGGGTCCCTCCCTTTGGCCCCTGCAGTGGGGGCTGGGCTGGAGCTCCCACCCCCCAGGTCCCAGAGCAGCACTGAGTTGTGGGGAGGCACTTCTGTGACTGCGTGCTGAGCCATGGCCTTGGCCTGCCTCAGTTTCCCCAGTTCACAGGCAGGTGTTTCCCAAGGCAGGAGGATGTAAGGGTGGGAGTTGGGGTCAGGGGCCTGCTTGGGCTACCTCTCCTGGCCCCTTGGCCCCTCTCCAGTTCAGCCATGGGGCAGCAGGACAGCCCATCCCAGCCAACCGGACGCGGGTGGAGGGGACACCGGTGTTCCCTGCGCTGTCAGAGCTGCCTGGACTTTCACCCACATCTCTGGAATTCATTAGGCTGAGAGAGGGAAGAGCTTGTGTGTGCACGTGTAAGTGCGTGCGTGCATGTGGCTGTGTTCCTACATGTGTGTGCGTGTTTGAGCATGTGAGAGCACAAGTGTGCATGTACATAGCTGTGTGTTAGCATGCATGTGCACATGACTGGGTGTGCGAGCGTGCGTGTGCATAGCCTCTTTGCACCGTATCCTGTGTCCCCCAGCCTGTGCCGACCCCATGCCCTGCCAGCAACCCCAGGCATGTGCGTACCCACGGAGGCATCATACAGGTCTGAGCACACAGTGCCACTTGGTGGGGGCATACACGTACGTGTGTGATCACGTGTGCAGACACCTGTGTGCTGGCATGCACAAGCCCATGCCTCTCCATGCAGAGTGTGCATGTGTTGCTTTACACACACAGGCACACACACACATGCCTCCCTGCAGGCCCTGCCAGGCCGGACAGGATCTGGAGGAAGCAGCTGGGCCTGCAGCGGGGCCCCTTCCCTCCAGTGCACGCATGTAGCCAGCAGGGTAGCTGGGGACTGGCAGTGGCTGCCATGTTGGGGGGGGGTAGCCCAAGCCAAGGGGTCAGTTCTAGTGGGGGCATGTGCCCCCATGGGGTCTCCCATCTGCAAATGTGCACATGCCTGCATAGGTGGAGCATATGCACACTTGTGCATGCATGTGCATATGTATGCCTGTGCCCATCTGCATCTCCACATGCATAGTGACATGGGAGGGAGGATGTGCATGCACCCACCCCTGCATGTACGTGGGGGTGCGTATGTGCACAGGCCCCCTCTGGCTCCTCTTTGCATACCTGGCCACTTGTACACATGTGGGTGTGCATGCGCATGTACATGGGTGCCCCTTCCTGCTGCTCTCCGTCTCTGCTTTCTGGGAGGGTGGGGTGTGCACATACACGCGTGTGCATGCTGTGTGGCTGTGTGCAGTTCACGCCTGCAGCGGGCGACATCAAACCCAGCTGCATGCAGGCTCTGCTGGGAGGGCAGGGGTCCAAGCCCCTTTCCTCCTCCCCCACCCCCGTACCTGGTCCAGGGCCCAGAGGAAGTAGGAGCGGATTCGGCTGCTCCATAAGGAATTTTATGTGAGCCTGGAAATGACGGGAGTGGGGATGGGGGCAGGGGCAGGAGGTGGGGGATGGGGCTCTGGGCTGGGGGGGCCGATGCCCCCAGTGCTGCCCCGTCCCCTGCTGTGTTGGGCTCAGCAGTCTATGCTCCACCCCCTGTGGTGCCAGCTGGACCTGGAGCCCCCCAACCCACTGCGTGCCGGCAGCTGCAGCCCCCTCCCCAGCACTGGTTGCATTTCATCCATGGCGGGGTGGTGTGGGGGGGTTTCCCATCTTGCCTGCATGTTTCAAGGGCCTGGCTGGGGCGACCCGGGCCTGCTGCACTCGGCATTGTACAGGCACCACCCGGAGCCAACACGGGGGCAGCAGGTGCCAGGCCGGGTCTGCAGGGTTGCAGCTGGGCCTGGGACAGGGCATCCTCCCCCGCCACACCTGGGACTGGAGCATGCAAAGGGTGTAGGCCTGCACGCACATGTGTGGGTCCTAACATGGGTGTCCGTGTGGGTTCCCATTGGTCACAGGCCTCAGCCCCGCAGGCAGATGCGGCTCTGTGCCCCCAGGGAGCCCGGATTCCCGATTTGCTGCGGCCGGGGCGTGACTCACGCTTGGAGACGGGGCTGGGAACGGGGCATGGCGTTCTCACACCTCTGCCCTGGAGACGGAGGGGGCGGCTGGGCTCTCCCCCGAGCTGGCCGCAGCCTCCTCCCTCCTGCCCTGGCCTGGCCTGGTTCCCAGGTGTCAGGGCAGGGGGTAGGGGGGGCCCCCGTGTCCTGGGGAGGGGGCAGCAGTGGGGGTTGCCACCTGCCCCCCAGGCCTGGGGCAGGGGGTACATCAGGCTGGGGGGTGAGCACAGAGCTGCTGTTTCAAGCGAGGTCTCGTGACAAGTGTGCTCACATGCTGCCCAGGCACTGGAGGGCTCCTGGGGAGAGAGGGTCTGCTATGCTCCCAGGAGGCTGGGAGGGGGATCACAAGCAGAAGGGCACAGGGGATGAGTGCAGAGGACACCACAGCCCCCATCCCTGCCCTGTCATCACCCTGGTTTCGGCTGTTTATGTACGCTGGGTGGGGGGGATGTGGCTGTGAGTCACCCCTGGGGCGGAGGGGTCCCAGTTGGCTGCAGGCTCCCGGCTCTGCCCAAGCACCGGCTGCAACTCTGGGGCCAAACCATGCCCCCTCCCCATGGTAGAAGCAGCCCAGCCTGGGCCAGACCGGGCAGTTCCCATGCGCTCCCTAACACGGCACACATGCACACAGGTACACACTCCTGCACCTTCGTGCATACAGCCCCCAACAGAACACACGCACACACAATGTTCGTGTGTGTGCATGCCCACGCAATGCCCGCACACACCCTCACAGAGCACACGTGCACCACGCAGATACTGTCACACCACGCGTGCACACATGCATCAGCATGGTGTACATGCACACACTTTCTCTGTACACCCCCTCCCACCCACACCTCCTGGCCGAGCTGTCAGCACTTGGCCGGGTCCCAGCACGGGCTCCCGGGCCGGATGACTTCATCCCGGCACGTCAGATGTTCCATGTGCTCCAGCGGCTGCCCCCACCCCCGCGCGCCGACCCCGCGGGGCGCCTGGCCGA